GGGTTTTGTGGTGGTTAGTAATTTCTTATACTTCTTAAGTAGTGTGGAATAGTGAAAAAATGTGGGTTTAAAAATCATAAAAGTCAGTGATCACATTTAGAAAGTTTTTTAAGCCCTAATATTGTCTGTAAAAGATGGTAACTATATGGTTAAATTAGATAGTGTATATAAAATAGCAAAATATGTCACACATACTTGCATTCAAGGAAAAGTAGTTATGCCTAAAAAAAAAATAGGATGCCTATTTTGTATCCTGTAAAGAAATTTTTGAGCAGAAGTAAAGTGAGATAAATTATCCATATATACATTTGGTAACTTCAACTAGAAGTTAACATTTTCAAAATCTTTTTCCCTTTTCCTTTTTTATAAGGGTTCAGACAGTTTATAAAACTTAATAGCTTCTGATGATATTATGACCCTGGGTTAGAGAATACAAAAAAAAAACAAAAAACATAGCTTCTGTTACTTAGAAAGTTTTTCTAGTATACTAAAATTTCGTGAATATTTGTTTACAATGTAAACTTCAACCAAATCATGATCTAACCAAAATTAAGGTGTAATCTATAACTGTATTACAAAGATGGTAGAGAGAAGCAGGAAAAAAATGTGAGGTAGTTGGTAAAATATGGAGTGAAAAACTGAAAAGAAATAGCAGTGTTAATTTTTTAAAATGAGATACAGGGGTAAACAAAAATCACCTGAAGGAAATGAAACTGTACATATATGACCTTGGTAAATAATAACTAAGTAAATACATTTGTCATAGTTACTTCCTATGGCTGAGACATAATACTAAATCACAAGTTAAAGGAAGAGAGCTTATTTTTGACTTATAGTTACAGTTGCTGTTTGGCTGGCTCCAAGGCAGAAACGGCAGGGTGGGAGGGCCTGGTTGGAAAACTTCATATGGCAGCCAAGAAGCAGAGATAAAAGGAGCTGGGGAGGCATATAGGCCCTTGGAAACCACAGCCCCAGTGACTTGCCTCTTTCAGCTGAGCACCACCTCCTGACTTCACATTCAGCACAGAGAGCCCATGATCCAGTTACCTTCCAGAAGCCCTGCCCCAGAGCACAAGAGTTTTGGGGGTCATTTTTGATCTGAGCCATAGCATTATGTGATTGCTGATTGTCCCCAAAATGCATGTACTATGATATACCAGAGAGAATGGAGAAGAGGAATTGTGTATTAAAATTGCAGCATCTCATATATCTTGCAGTTGGCAGTATATTACCAGTATCAAGGGTCCCCTAAAATACCCAGGCTCTTGATTGATAGGACTGAGCATATCGTGCTAGCAATGGGTGGATTTTATTATAGCAGAAGGATACAAAGCAGAATCAGTGCAGGGGTAATGGATGAAGTCCAGGTGAAATGAAGTGCAGGATTCTGAGACCTCTGCCATTCCAGTCCCTTAGGAATGCTTCATTCCTCAGCAGAGAGTTGTGACAGAACATGTGAAGTGTCTGCCAGGGAAGCTCATTGGGGGGGACTCAGTGTCTGGTTTTCTTCAGGCCTGGTTCTGCCTAGCTGTGCCAGACTCCCAAAAGACAAAGTGTTCAGCATAAATCACAGTTTATACAGTTTAGGCACATTAAGTCACTCTAAGTGCTTAGGGAGCATTTTATATTAGTGTAGGGAACTGTTAACCAGATGTCCTTGGAAACAGGCTTTTCTAGTCATAGTAATATTCATCACTATTTTCAAATTCTGTAAGTATTTAAATCTGTCGGTATATACAGACACACTCAGGACACTGGGATTGTCATCTTCTTAGAGAAACCTCACTCGGAGACTTAGACTTGGCCTGAAGTCTTTCCAGGCCTGCTGCATAAGTGTCATCCTTGACCTTTTACTGAGATTTTGTGGTTCCCTTAACTCTTCTCTTGAACAGGACCCCATTTTCCTAGCTAGCAATACTTCCTTCTTGGTTAATTAATTCCTTGATCTGGTGAAGTACATCTGCTAGTAATATCCTTTAAGAGGGAACATGTAATATAAATTTAGAGCCTTTACAGGTCTGAAAAATGAAAAATGTTCTCTAATTCTGTTCTCACATGTAAATATAATTTTTCCTTGGAAGTTTGAACCTTTTATTCCCTGTGGTGTTGAAGCTGGAATCCATGGCCTCTGCATCAAGTTGCTATTAATCTAAAACTATATAATAAACAATATCATGTTTTGACTTCCCTTCTAGGTAACAAAAACTACACATTTTTCTTAAAGTGGCAGTCTCATTCTTAAATTAACTCATTTTTGCATACTGCCGTTTGAGGTAAAGGATACCGTGAAGTTCTATACTAAAGATATTAACCTTTGCTTTGTCTTTTTTTTTGAAGGGCGGCTTTGTCTTTTTTGTTGCCGTTTGTACTTAGTGGTAAGCAAGGCAACAGTGATGGGGAAAAGGATTTATGAAATATTCTGAGTAGCAGGAAAGAGAACAGAGGGAGTAACATGGATTTCAATTGAGCAGTTTTTGAGAATGATGGGAAATAACAATCAGAAAGAGTTCATATGTTGTCGATGCCCTCCCTCCTTCAACTATTTCTCCTTCCTACATCAGATACTTTGCTTTGAAATGGGCTGAGGTGTTTCATGCCCAGCATAGGAATGTTCCTTTCCCTTCAGATATCTAATTACAATTTTATGATTTATGTAAATCACTAGAAATGTTCCTACTCCACACACTGAAGACTGCTTCTAGGTACCAGGCAAGTTAGAGCTAAGGATGTGTCAGCATATGCTGTAATGGCTCCTTCTGCATTTTATCCCTGCATATTGGCAAAAAATTATGCTGTGAACTGTAGAAACAAGCTGTGATGTATTGCAAGAAATGATATGTGGCTGAATGTCTATGAGAATATGAGTTTTCTGTTTTGGAATGACCCAAAAGTTTAAATGATTTTATTCTCACTTTCTTGCACAAATAACTGAATTCTTGTTTCAGTTTGTACTTTTAAAATTAGGTATAATGTTTGATATTTAGGTTGGCAGGTTGTACAACTCAGTATTGCAGAATGTTACCATGAGGAATTTTTTCAAAAGAACAATTACTGAAGAAAAAATGTGACAACTTAATTACTTGAAGTACTATTATGTTTGTGTTTTTAGTCTGTCAGTGAATTTCAGTTTTTCTTTTTTGTACACTAGTATATAGAATTTGGTAGTGCACCCTACCAAAAAAAGCTGATGAAGTATAAATGTTTTCTTTCAGTAAAATCCATTCAGAAGTCAAATGAATTTAAAATTATCTTCTGGTTAATGGAGGTCCCCCCCCCCTCCCCATGATGTTGGAAACCAAACCCAGGGCTTCATACATGCTAGGCTACCACTGAGCTATTTTCCTAGCCCTGGTTTATAATTTTTATAAAATGGAGGATTGGTACACTTGTTTAAAAGATTGAGTTGGCTATTATGATCTGTAAAGGACAGATTTATCAGATTATTTAGAGCATCTGTTCCCTTTAAGCTACATTTATTTAATCAATTGAATTTGAGAAAATTTTTAAAAAAATTTTTAAAGGTACATGTAGAGAAATCTTACTGCCACCCTATTTCACTCTTACAGGATATCTGGATATACTGTAGTTTGTCTGTCTAGTCCCCTATCCATGAGTGCTTGTTCTAGTTTTTTTCATTATTATTATTATTATTTTAAAAGTGTTGCTGTGAGCAGACTTATGTATTACTTCATATGTGTGCAGCTGTAGAAAAATTCTCAGAAAGGAGAGTTGAATTCAGTATGTTAAATAATTGACTTTTGTAAATATTTCTTCCTTTTTGGGGGAAGGTTAGTACAGGAAATTGAATCCAGTGCTTCCCACATACTAGGCAAATGCTGTATCATTCAGCTACATCCTCAGCACTGATTTTTATAGATCTTATAGAAACATTTTAGATATCTCCCAACAAAATGTGAGAAAGTCACTTACCTTTGTATAGCAATGATTAGGAAACTTTCTAAACTTCTATAGATGAAGAAATTGAAGCAGAGTTTTTCAAAGTCACTTGATTGGTATGATTCTGTGGTGGTTAAGCCTGATTGTGTCAACATGGGTGGCTTGGGAGCCATTGAGGGTATTAATAAAACACACTTATGGGTGCTAGTGGAGCTTGACATTGATTGAGTACTCTGTGGTCCATGGACCTTTCCTGCCTGACACTGACCTCTGCTGTCCTTCCTGGCCACCTTGAACCGAACATCTTGGCTCTGCTACACCCTTCTGCTGTGATGTTTCTCCTTGGCAGCCAACTGACCATGGATCAAATCCCTTGAAACTGAGAGCCAGTTTAAGCCTCTCTGTGGGTAATGGGTATTGTGCCTCAGCCACAGGAAAGCTATTTAGTAAAGAGTGAATCAAAGACTTAGTGTCTAATTGAAAACTTCGTGTTCTTTTCAATAGATTATACTGAATTTGCTGTCTTTAAGACATGTTTATAAAATGTAAAAGTTCTGAAGTATTAAAGGAGTCCTTATTTTATTAGTGTCCAATAAATTCTGATATCTGTATTGTCTGAGTTTTGTGTTCCACAGTGAAAGGGTAACGTGGAATTCTTTTCTGTATTCACATTTAGGTAAAATGGGAATAGGATGTATGAATTCAGAGTTATAGTCTCTAGTCCATGTAAGTGTTCTTATTCTAAGCTTGGAAATTTTGACTTTTCTGCATGGAGACTGCTAACTTCATATGAGTTCTACTTGATTCTAATGACCCAATCTCCTTTAGCTTCATTTTTATTTTGTCTTTTAGCTCTCCAGCATAGAAGATAATGAATAAATGTTGCAGGATGTGGTGGCACATGCCTGTAATCTCAGCACTTAGGAGGCTGAGGCAGCAGGACTGTTACAAGTTTGAGGCCAGGCTGTGCTACATAGTGAACCGTGTCTCAGAAAACAAAAAGAAATAAATGATACGTGTAGATGAGGATGATCTCAAAAATAACTCACTTCACTTTCCATAAAATGCCACATTTCATGGTGCATAACTTTTCTGTTTTACAGTGGAAGATTGATGATAAGCCTGTAAAAATTGACAAATGGGATGGATCTGCTGTGAAAAACTCTTTGGATGATTCTGCCAAAAAGGTACTTTCTTGAGGAGTAGTCATGAGTGTGTTTTACAGATGATAGATTATCTTCTTGGGGATCTTTCTCTTTTGTTACTGTATGTACTTGGAGTGACTTTAGCTAGACAACAATTCTAAAATTCTCTCTTCAGAATAAATAGGGGAAGTGTGTTAAAATATAAATGTAGTCTACCTTAAGAATGTTGAGATTAAATAGCTTAGAACAGAAAATTTATGACAGTATACTTATCCATGATCAGGCATCTTTGCATTTAAAAAGGAAAAAGGAAAGTTTAGCTATGTCCTGTGAAAAAAGTTGAGGGTTTAAAAAAATTTCACATAAGGAGTTGATTAAATATTTCACTGAGGGCCAGGGAGAGCTCAGTGGCACACCACCTGCCTGGCAAGTGTAAGGTCCTGAGTTCAATTTCCAATGCCAAAAAAAAAAAAAACCATTTTCCTGAGCTCCTCTGTTAACAGCTTGAGTCTTTGTCTAGAACCATAAAATACCAGTGGGAGAGAAATACTTGTCCACATGCGTAATTAATAATGTAACTTTTTATGATAGAAATCAAGGATACAAGGAAGTATAGGAAGGCACATTCCTCTTAGCTTGATTCCTTGTTCTTCTCTCTAGGTACTTCTGGAAAAGTACAAATACGTGGAGAATTTTGGGCTAATCGACGGTCGCCTCACCATCTGTACCATCTCCTGTTTTTTTGCCATTGTGGCTTTAATTTGGGATTATATACACCCCTTTCCAGAGTCTAAGCCAGTTTTGGCTTTGTGTGTCATATCATATCCTTTATGCTTACATTTTCTCATGTTTTAAAAAAATTTCTGCTGATACTTCTTCCCACAAAACTTTCATTTTTAGGACCTGTTGCCATTGGAATTTAACATGAACTGTAAGCATCTCAATTCATGTAATGCCATTGATATTTTAGGTTTAGCATTTCTTTAATCTGTAACTCACTTTAGTTATTGTAGAGGTTATTATAATATGAACACCTAATAACAATGCACTATTGTTGAGACCCGGCCCTTCTCACTTTTAGCCCAGAACGTTTCCCATTTGATCACCCTGCTTGAAGCCACTCATTCCAGTAAGATTTTAAAAAAGCATTGGATTTTGAAGATTCACATCTGTGTCAAGCTTCCATGAGCTGAGTGGCTGGCCTCACAATACTGAGCACAAATTGTGAGTTTGGCTTGTGTTACGGTAATATTAAAACCTTTTCTGGAGCTATAGAACATGAGTTTGAAATCCAAGATATCTGTAACCTTGTGCCCACTTTTTTGAGACTCAGAATATAAATATATGTTATACACATTCAGAATTGCCATAAAAATTAACTGCATTTGGTGTGTAATATAGACAGTTCCTAATTTAAAATGCTCAGCTAAGGGCTAATGTACATATTCTGACACATTTTGGTTTGGCTAGGCTAAGCTGTGATGTTTGCTAGAGTAGGCATTTTAGTGAATTTCTACTAAATTTGTAATCCCATTGCAAGTGGAGTGTTTCCTTCTTTTTACAGTAAATGTAGAATTATGTTTGTCACTTAACCAAGCTTGGTTATTTATGAAAAGGTTGAATATAATGTGTTTACACTATTATAAAAAGTAAGTAACAGTTTTTTGTTCCTAGTTCATTTAGTACATATTAGTTTCTAGTATATACTGTGTACCTAGTCTGTGTGTACATTCTGTTTCGCCCTTTGTTTTTAACTTAAATGTTTGGTTATTTTTCCATATTAGTACATACATTTCTGCCTCATTTGTAATAGTCACATCTTGCTAGTGAATGTCTGCTATGTGACAAGAAAAAAACAAAATCTTTAAACATTGTAGCCGTAAGAAATTGTACCCTTAGAGGCAGTTAGCAAGCTATTGAATAAAGCAGATCCCAATCAAAAATAGTACTATCCAAATTAATGCCAAATCTTAGTCCCCAGAGTGGACAGCAAGTGATCCTTGAGTTTTTTAAGTTATCACATTAATATTCCAAGTGGGAAATTTTCACTATTAAGGCAATTAAAAAGATACACCATAGCTTCTGGACATGGTTCCCAAAAAGTTCCAGAGAGATTTGAGCAGTGACAGCAGCAGCATTTTCACAAAATTCTGGTCACCCAGGAGAGCTACTTTGATACTACTTTGGTTATATTTGTTTAAAACAAACCAAGATCTCATAATCACATCAGTGTTATAGTGGTAGCTGTCATTATAAATGCCGTCTTTGTGCTTCATTCAAGCCTCATGACAATTCTAAGACATCTTAGAATTACTATTTTATAAAGTATTACTCCCTTTAGAGGTGAGGCTACTTGAAGACAAAAATAATCTATAGTAATCTATCTCAGTTACAGTGATTAGAGGCCAAGATTTGAATCTAGGATTTAACCCATTCTAAAATCCATGTGGTTTATACTGTACTTTCTAGTCCTTCTGGATTTAAATAATATAACATTTAAATGCCACAGTACATAAAACTCCCAGGTCTGTTTCTGTCTCAGATATGGTTGTTAGGTTTGTGAAAAACTAAATGTAATGAATGTATACTAATATGGAAATAATTGATCTTACAGTAAACTTTTGAAGTCAGTTTTCTTCTCCTGGCCCTTGAAATTGGTTGCATGTGGTCAAGTCCACTGTAATTGTGTTATTATTATTATTATTATTATTATTATTTTTATTTTTATTTTTATTTTATTTTATTTTTTTATGGGACCGGGGATCAAACTCAGGACCCTGCCCTTATTCTACTGAGCTATCTCCCTGGCCCCTGTAATTGTGTTTTTAGTAGAGAAATTATCAGAAGTTGTAACAAAAATTTGTCAAACTAGTAACAGAATTTGCTTTTGTCTGTTGTCCTTGAACATAAAAGATAAGAGCTGGTCTGTGCCTGCTTTTTTCTTTTAGAGATGTTTAAAGAAATAACCAGAGACATCCTTGCTTCTCTTGGCATATATATGTATGAAGATGAAAGTGAAATAGCTAGCTAAGTTCTCAGTGTTTTTGTAGTAGTAGAAAAACTGGCTTTTCTTTTTAGGACAGTCATGAAGGTTTTCATGGCTCTCATTTGTCAGTTTATTACATCTCTTTTGTTTGCATGTTTGTGTATTTTCACCTTAACTTTATTTGAACCTATTTTGTGATGATGGGGATTCTGACCATTTATACCTCGTATAAGGAGAAGAGCATCTTTCTTGTGGCTCACAGGAAAGATCCTACGGGGATGGATCCCGATGATATTTGGCAACTGTCCTCTAGTCTCAAAAGGTAATGATTGTTCTCCCAGATTCTTAAATCTTGGTATTGGGGTTTTTTGGGGTGTGATTATTATTAACAGCAGACTGTTACGTGAATAGTCTGTGCAGATGATAGTGTTATGTAAAATGAAGAAAAGGGTAAAAAGTAAAGAAAAAGGTACAAAAGTAGTACTTCGGTGGAAGAATGACTTTTCCTCTTCCTTGGGTACTATTAGAAAAAGCAAAAGTAAACTTTTTTTTTTTTTTTTTTAAACAAATCCTGGAGTGGTACGGGTCTATTGGACCTTCTGTGATGCTCAGGGAAATATGCAAAAACAGATAGAGCTTAATGTGGGTCAAAATCCTCTTTTGCACAAGTGCACACACCTTGCTGTTCACTATAACAAGTGGCTAAATGCATAAATTGCTTCCTGTATCCCTCAGGCAAAGTTACTGAGACACACTGGCTACTATTATGCTAAAGTACAGATTTACAGAAGAAAAGTAAGGAGTGGGCCCAGTGTTACGCTACTTAAGGAGTCCTGGAGATCATGTGTTACAGCATAGGTATTGGGTTGGGGATCATATTGGAACCTGAGACTCAATTATTTACAGAAATTAAGGGTCAAAGCAGCCTACATTTGGCAAACTTCTTGAAGGCAATGGTTCTTCATTCATAAAATTCTGATTTTTAAGTGCCAACCTAAGATTAGCAAACAAGACAAAATATTTTCAAGTATCCCATAGTCTAGTGAAGAACACATACACAAATAGCATTTCAGTATTTCACTGATAGCATGGGAACCTCAGAATAGACATGGCATGTAATAGGTATCCAGTATTTGATTTGAATATTGATTGATGGTGCTGTATTTGTGACCCAAATTGGGAGGGTATTCCCAGAAAAATTTTATGCAGACTTTAACAAATATAGGAACTAGGCAGATGAAATAGGAAAGAGGCTATTAGGAAAATTCTTCTAGCATGACACCTAGAGGTCAGAGAAAGTGGTCATGTGGCTTACTCTTCTGTGACAAGGTAAGAGAGGTATGCTGTAATTAAAGGAGGGAAAATATGTCAACATTTAAGAATCAGAATTGTTTTCTCAAAGGTGGTTAGAGATAACCTGAGTGTTTTTTTGTTGTTGTTGTTCTGTTTTGTTTTGTTTTAAATGTTCAGGTTTCTTTTATCACCAGTGCCCAGCTTATCAATCATTAGGAAATGCTTGGTGCTGTGTTGTTACTGGTTGAATTTGTTTGGTTTTTGATTTGCTGTCTTTGCCCTAATACTTAGGTTTGATGACAAATATACCCTGAAGCTGACTTTCATCAGTGGGAGAACAAAACAGCAGCGGGAAGCCGAATTCACCAAGTCCATTGCTAAATTTTTTGATCATAGCGGGACACTGGTCATGGATGCGTATGAACCTGAAATATCCAGGCTCCATGACAGTCTTGCTGTAGACAGAAAAGCAAAATAGATCATTCTAAAAGCAGCCCTCTTTCTGCTGGACCATGCAGAATTACTGGGTGGGTTGGGTGAAGAAATGGAATTTAAAATGGGTAAAGAATTGTTTAAAGTGTCCCTGTTTTGTCTTGAAATTTTAGTCCACTCATAGGATTTTCTAGCACAGATATGAGAAGTTGTAGTTCTTATGTCTAGCTGTAGCTTCCTTAGTCTGCTGATTGTGTTGTTTTGATTTGCTTTTCTGGAAAGGCGTTTTTGCTGGAAGCTATCTAGAATTTTTTTTTCTTACCTATACTATTTTATATAGTGTAGCTTTGTGCCATGCAGCATTTGAAGACTCAGTTTTTAAAAATGATTAACCTGTTGCTAGCTTTGTGTTAATTCCTGTTTCAACAACTTTCCCTAAAGAATTCAGGATACAACTTGTGTATGACAGCTTTCTGTTAACACCATTTTTGTGGATGTGTGTATGTCTAACTTGGGGAAAAAAATTTTTTTTTTTTTTAACACCATTTTTGTGGATGTGTGTATGTCTAACTTGGGGAAAAAAATTTTTTTAAGAGCTTTTCAATTTGCCTGTTACATTTTGTGCACTTAACCAATTAAAGAAACCAGTGGCATTTTTAATTTTCTATCGTCTGTGTTTTCCACTAGTATATTCCTGCTGATTCATTTGTGCCTTTTATTAACTACCATTTTGTAAAAAACTTTTCAATAAAAGAAAAGAAGATATGAAAAAATGGAATCATAGTGTTGATGGAATGAACAGAGCAGCAACTATTAGCATTACACTATTACCACAGGTGTCTTTAGTTTCTAGGCCACTTCACTATTCAGAGGTCTCTGAGAACCTTAGCTAAGGGACCCTTATAATAACACTCAGTACTTAGTTTCTACTCCATACCTTACATATATTGACTCATTAATGCTCACAGCAATTCTTTAAGAGGTAGGTGCTGCAATTATCCCCATTTTACGGATAAGAAACAAAAGTTGAATGACCTACCATATAGCTAATGCTAAAACAGGGATTTTAACTCCAGAGTTTATGTTCCTACAGGCAACACAGTGGCTGGTACCTTTTCTCGTATTTTCCAACCTGATAAAGAGAAGAGCTAGGCACTTACCCAGATCCTGTTACCTTCAGGACTGTTGTCCCTACAGTCCTACAAAGTGTGATTCCAGCTGAGGATATTGTCTGACACAAATAACTTATTAAAAATTGCCTTAAAAAAAAAAAAGATTAAAAAAATCAGTTCAGACAGCTCAGCGGCCTGAAGCACCTGCTTAGGCAGAGCACAGCGGCTGGAGTTCGATCCCAGGCGTGACGTGCTGGCCCTGCTCCCAGGGCATGCTGAGACTTCGAGTGAGACTGGGCATGGTGGCGTGCGTGCCTGTAATCCAGCACTTGGGAAGCTGAAAACAGGAGAATCACAATAGAGTCCGATTTATGTAGTGAGACCCTCTAGACCCTGTACTAAATATATCAAAGAAAAAAAAAAGATTACAAATTGCCCTCACACCATTTTCCTTGTGGACTGGTGAATGTCACCCTGTGTAGCATCACCTGGTGGACTGGAAATTAAAGCCTTGAATTGAGTACTGTACCTTCACTCTGGCAATCCTTGGCTAAGTCATGCAATTTTCTGAGCTGCTCAGTTTCCTTTAAAAAAAAAAAATTTAAGGTAATAATTCTAATCCTGTGAACCCAAAATTTTTGAAAGTGTATAATCAGATAATTATACTTCTCTAATAGAGGAGTTATTGTTAGGCATACATTTCAAGGCTTGTGGCTATAGACAGTGAATAACACTCTCTTATGACTGCTTGGCTTTCTTTTATACCTGCTGTACCTTTCTCTTTACATATACAAACCTTTTTCTTTTTTTTTGTATTTTAGGGAAGGGTCTACAGGATGTTCAGGGTCTCACTACTAGATCAGACTCCTAGTGATTCTCCTGTTTACAGCCTCCCAAGAGCAGGGATTACAGGCGTGCGACACCATGCCCAGTCTCAGTTGCCATCTCAGCGCGCCGCAGTGCGGGGCCAACACGGCAGGCCAGGAATGGAACCCCTAGCCCCTGAGCCTGCTTGCAGGCGCTTTAATCCACTGCGCTATTTGGCCGGCCCTACAAACTTTTTTAAAATAAAAATTTCACTTTGTTATATGTCCTGTAATACATATAAGGTGAGGGTTTTAATTTAAGATAAGGGTTTCACCATGTCAAGCTGGTCTCAAATGTATATTCGGAAGTGATCCTCAGCCCACATGGTAGCTGATACTATCATCATACTGTGTGCCAGCGTTGTAATTTGTTTTTAAAACATTTCCTAGGTACATTCCCTGTATAGAGATAGAATCATTTAAATAACTGCATAATATTCCATAGAATAATGTTTTTACTTCAGCTGTATCTTACTGATAATAAGTTGATATTTTCCCTTGAATTTTCAATATCCCAAGAGGAAGTGTGATTAGGAAAGGAGGAAAAATAGGTTCTCAAGTGAGTGACAAAAATACTGGAGTGATTTTAGCTTTATTGTAATTTATGTTCTTAAGCAAATTTCCTTTTCTACAGAAAAAGTCACTTGAGATTTTAGAGAATGTATCATTTTGAGATTATGAAGACTCCTTATGTCCCAGAAATGACTGTATACTAATATCCTTTATTATGCAAAATATGAGTGCCAAAGTCTCTACAGTCTGCTTGTACTCCTACTTGGAGACTTTTTGAACTGTATGAATCTCTTGAGGATTTTCCCTGACTCCAAAACTCAGTTTAAACAGTTGAAATCAGATTCCAGCCCACCCACTTGCTGCAGTTGGTATATCTGCCCTATGTGCCCTTTGCACTGGTGATATTTGAGGACAGTTTCTCATCACCATTGACTGTGCACTCAAGCTTCATGACTGGCACAGTTTGAGACAGCGGAGTTCTGTGTCTGACTTGGCACATGCATCTGCAGGGTACTCTGAAAGTGTTGGTAATAAGTCCAACAGACTGCTTGACATCTCCCATCCACCCCCAGTACCTACATTACCACGAAGCTCTCCCATCCACCCCCACTACCTACATCACCACAAAACTCGTGTTGGCTTTCATTTTCTACCAATGTGAGCAAGAACTTGGCTCCACTGGGATAGTGGTCACAAACCCATGGACAAGCTAGGCGGAGAAAATCACAGTCCAGTGAAACTAGTACTCAGTGGCAAAGCACAGAAATACACAAGCACGTGGAAAGAAAACCATACCCATTTGAGTAATCAATGGGTCACAGAAAAATCAAGGAAGATACTAGATTCTAGAATCAAACAGTAAATTAGTACAATGTATGAGAACGTATGGGAAACAAAGCAGTTCCCAGAGGAAAGCTTATAGCTTTGACTACCCTCATCAGAAAATCAGTTAAGACCGAGTAACTTCAAGGTTCTATAAAAAAAAAAGTCCAAATCCAAAGCTAGGCAAGTAAGGAAATACAAAGAATAGAGCAGATCTGTTATTAAAACAGCATGATGCTGAGAAAGGATCAGTGGACAGATTAGAAGATACAGAAACAACTCCAAACATATTCAGCTAGCTTGCCTTTAATGAAGGAGCCAAACGCTTTCAGAGAAGAAAGCCTCTTTAATAAATGGTACTGGAAAAAACAGGCTTTTCACATGCAAAAGGTTAAACTAGCCTTCTATCTTTCACCATGCATTAAAAACAGATCAAAGATCTAAATATTAAGACAAATGCTAAATCTGCTGGAAGAGAGAATAGGTAGAACTTTTGAAGACATTGGTGTAGGCAAAGACTGTAAACCATACCCCAATTACACAAGAAAAATCAAGATCAACTGGGGTCTCATTAAGAAGCTTTTTGCATACAATAGAAATCAACAGAGTAAAGAGGTAGCACACAATATGGGACCTTTTTTTCCAGGTGATCCTTAGACAAAAGACCACAATCTAGAATGTATAAGGAACTCAGAAGAGTAAGACCCCCCACCCCAATTGAAAAACCCAACATTTCTCAGATGAAAATGGCAAATATATATATGATATATAATATAATTGTGTATTATATATGTTCAGCATCACTGGTTAGGAACTAAATGCAGTTTGTATCTCACTTCAGAAAGAATGGCTATTATATAAAATCAACCAATTTCATGGCAAGGCCGTGGGGAAAAAGGAATCCTTTTCTACTGTCAGTGAGAGTATAGACTGGTGCAACCACTGGAAATCAGTATAGAGAGCCTCAAAAAACTAGGACTAGGGGTTCCATTCTGCCCAGCTATACCACTTCCTGATAGTTCCTGAAAGAATTAAAAGCATTATACCATAGAATATATGAATACCCATGTTTGTAACAGCACGTTTTTAATAGCTGAATCTTGAAAACAGCCCAGATGTCCATCAAATAATGCATAAAGATTGTGTGTGTGTGTGTGTGTGTGTGTGTGTGTGTGTTTAATAAAATGGAGTACTGCTCTGACTTAAAGAAAGATAAGCTTGAGATATTTTGTTGCTAAAGGAATGTACCTTGAGACCATACTCAAGGTAATAAAGCAAAATAAATTGACACACGTTTAAATACTGCACTGTTTCTCTGGTGTGAGCAACTGAACGTGTAAGTAAGGGCCAAAATGTATAATAGATACTGGGAAATGGGGGGGAAATGTTCAAATGAGAAGGGAAACAAGAGAGGGGGCAGAGGAAAGGGAAAAGAACAAGGAAAAGTGGAAAAATGTAAATGGGGAAGAGGGACTGGGAGGGGAGAGGAGTGGGGAAAGATGAAGCAAGATATATCATGTACAAATTCTCTGTGATGAATGTTGTGTATATCTAAAATGTACCAATAAAATAAAAAGTTCTTTTTAAAAATACCATTATAGAGAAAAAAATATGAGACTTGAGTTTGGTCTGTGAATCTTTGTTTGCTGATCCCTAATATAGATGGAATGTATAAGGACATTATATCAGGATGTCTATTGCATTACTGTGTTGGAAGAGAGGGGAAAAAAAAAAAGCCAAAGACCTGGTACAACATAAACAATCCACCATTAGTTTAGTAGTGGAATGGGAGGGTTGGAAAGTTGTAGCATGTTTATTCCACAGACATAATGCACATGTTCAAGGGAACCAGCGAGTTGTGGGCCTCCTGACTTGCAGAAGCATATATAAGATATTAAGTGCACAAAGCAATCTGTAGAACACTGCAACTGACTTGCACACACCGAGGCTCTGGGCCTCTGCTGTTATGGAGGGCACTTCTCCATCCCTCTTGATACTGAGCCCGGCTGTGTGACTCTCTTTGACCATGAAGTATTATCAAGTGTGAGCAGAGCCCATCCCTGTGCTTGCAAAGTTTGTTTGGGAATTTTGGTGCTGAGGGTCGGACACAAGGTCTTGTGCGTGCATGCTGAGCCCACCTCTCTACCACCGGAGTGCTGCCTCCAGTCCTGCCTTACACAGTTCCCCTGGTTTCTGAACGCCCAAGGGCACCTTGAGAAGAACATGCCCCAAGTAGCCACTACAGCAAGGAGAATGAGGAGCATGAGAGGTAGGCCCAGCCCAGCCCAGCCCAGCCCCTGCAGCCTAAAGCAGAAATGCTTAGCCCGCACCTGCAAACCCAGGAGCTCAAGAGGAAAGGCTTTGGCCAGGCATGGTGGTATGTGTCTGTAATCCCAGCATTTGAGAGGCTGAGGCAAGATGATCCGCTCAAGTTCTAGGCCAGCCTGGGCTGCATATCAAGACTCTGACCCCCTGCTTCCCCCCACAAGGAATAAAGGCTTAGGTCTATTCTTTTGCTACAATAACAGAAAAAAAAGTTAAAGCCATTATAGTAAGTGATACATGCCTACCCACATTCATACCAGTACAATTCATAATAGCTAAATCTTGGAAGCAGCCGGTATGTCCATCAACAGATGAAGGATTTAAAAAAGTGGTTCTTATACACAGTGGAGTACTGATCTGTATAAACTTGCATAAGTTGGTTGGTGAGATAGCTCAGCGGAGTAAGCCCCTGGTTAGGCAAGCACAGGGACCAGGATTCAATCACCAGCACCACATGCCACACAGGCCCCACCCCCGGGTGTGCTGAGCTGGCTGGGAGACCAGGCATGGTGGTGCATGACTGTAAGCCCAGTTCTGGGGAGCCTGAAAACATGAGGATCACTGTGAGTCTGAGCTGCATAGTGAGACCCTGTAACAAATATATTAATAAAATTGCATAAATTGTCTCAGTGTCTTTATAGAGTTGATTTATTCAAACTGATCAAGGCCACAGTTTTTCTTTTACTTTTTTTTTTCAAATAGATGTTTCCCCGCCTCTTTTTTTTTTTCTTTCCATTTGTTACGAAAGCACAAATTTTTTTTCTTGTAGAACTTTACACGTAATGGATTGGGCTGGTGTGCAACAGGATAGTGTTATTTAACATCTACTGTTTCAGATTTGATTGTATTTTTTGGGGGGGAAGCCGGGGG